CCACACAGCACTGAACCTAAAGATGGCATAACATATTCCTAGCAGCATGTAATAAGCTGCCAAATGTAGGAGAATTATAACATTTTACTTTGAGCATATCATATACCTGGCACCTAAACAAAATGTATAAAGTTATTATAAAAATTATAACTTCTGTATGATATATCAAGTCTAAGAACACTAGACATTAATTACAACACGCAGTAACTTTGTAATCGCTGTACAACACTTTTGGGCAACGCTATAAATGTTGCTGGCCCTTTGTGGACATTTGCGAACACATAAGCAGCGCCCGAGGTCAACACACTTAGTGCATGCCCAGCCAGTGCTATGGAAGTTGGGAGGTGTGCGACTGCCACTGAAAATATGAATTGGTGAATGTAAACCTGATCACGTACGTTTTATACTGTAGATTGAAAATTATATTTACCAACAAGATTATTCAGAATACAGGTTATGCAATATAAAAAATTTATTGGTATTTGTCAGTCATTCTGGGAATCAGCCCTCAAAAGTAAGGTGAGAACTCTTCCAAAAAACAAAATTTATGAAAAATAATTCTATAATATGTAAGTAAAAAATGATTTGTTAGTTGAATTTTTTATAGTAAATTTTTTCTGCAGTTTTATATTACATCTACAATTTTTAGTACTTTATAAACCACATTCCTTTACTGGTATACCTTTGACATTTTCTTCAAATTTAGGAATGAAAGTTAAAAGAATTATCTGATAATCAAATTTCATAATACCCAAGAGAAGGTTTCACAGCATAAACGAGACATGGATTGTTCTGAAGGGGCGATGAATCACATGAGAACTGCCCATGCAAGAATACTACTCATATACAAGAAGGGGCCATCCAACAGGGGTAATACAATGAGGGGTCATCCAATAGGTTGAACAAGGTGGGGGGGTTGTCCAACAGGGGTGGCACAATGAACAAGGTCATCCAACAGGGGTGGCACAATGAACAAGGAGTCATCCGATAGGGGTGCCACAATGAACAAGGTGTCATCCGATACGGGTGGCACAATGAACAAGGAGTCATCCGATAGGGGTGGCACAATGAACAAGGAGTCATCCGATAGGGGTGGCACAATGAACAAGGTGTCATCCGATAGGGGTGGCACAATGAACAAGGTGTCATCCGATAGGGGTGGCACAATGAACAAGGTGTCATCCGATAGGGGTGCCACAATGAACAAGGTGTCATCCGATACGGGTGGCACAATGAACAAGGTCATCCAACAGAGGCGGCACAAGGCACATCAAGAAGTTTATGGGGTCATGAAAGAGGCTGACAAACTAGAAAGTTAACGGTGTAAGATACGGGGAAATATAAACAGATCTGTGGAAAACTCAAAATAACTGCGCCGTGATAACGTCACATGAAGGAATAGGAAGGCAAGCAAGGGGGATGCACACGGATAAACCAAGCATAAGGGTGCACACCTAGGAGAAGCAAGACGACATACACAAATAATTAAGAAGCGTGCACACTTGAAAAAAGAGAGAGAAGTCAGGAGAGAAAATATAGTGCTATAAAACAGGATTTAGGTAAAAATATGCAGTTTGTAAGAGGAAATCATGTCAGACTAACTTGGGTTAAATTCTCTCTCTCTCTCTCTCTTATAAAGTTTAGCCTTTAGCCTAATATTTTCAAGTTTTATGGAACAAAAAGCACTAGTTCTTTATATAAATTTATAAATCAAGTTGTTTTTAAGACGAACATTAATGAAATACACAAGTCCTGTGACTGGTACACAAAAATCAATATTTAATAATGACCAAGGTTAATTATGACTTTTTAGCAATCATTAGTCATCTTTAGAAATATATCAATCAATTTGCTGCTAGTAAAGTGGGAGTGTAGTGCCTTCAGTATCTCCCACAACAGGACAAGTAATCAAGGAAAACGGCCCCACGAGCTCATAGAGGACAAACAGTTTGACAAAGACGCTAGGAGCATGTAAATGCAAGCATCAGTGCCTCGCGTTCCCTCCAGGGAATTTGCTGGATGTACGAGACACTAAATCAGCACCAAATCTACAACAAAACTGTCCCATAGTTTGCCATTTTCATAAAAATCCACAATATATTAATAATATATATATACACACACAGTATATATAGTATCGGTAAAACAAGACTATATAGTACTACCTATAGCAGCCTACTCTAATCCTCCAAATAATACACGTGTGAGTAGATACTTGAGCATCAGCATAGCAAAACATGACAATACACTCAGGCTTCCTTATCCAAGCACTGTACCTGCCCGATTATCATTATCCAAGCACTATACCTGCCCAATTATCATTATCCAAGCTCTGTGCCTGCCCAATTATCATTATCCAAGCACTGTGCCTGCCCAATTATCATTATCCAAGCACTGTACCTGCCCGATTATCATTATCCAAGCACTATACCTGCCCAATTATCATTATCCAAGTACTGTACCTGCCCAATTATCATTATCCAAGCACTGTACCTGCCCAATTATCATTATCCAAAACCTCAAAAATCTGACCTTTCTTTTATAATGAATCCACATAGAATAAGAATTGATTTTGCTCTAAGATTGCCCCCTTCAAAATTCAGATGTAGATTATAATTCATTAAATCCTGTAGAGAATACCAGATTGTTGCTACAGGGTACAATACACTATGTTAATTTTTTAATTAATAATAATTACACTAGTAATTATTATTTAAAACATATAATTTTTAGACGAAACATTTTATCGCTTGTGTGCTTGACTAAAACTTATTACTTGAGAGTTTATACATGTGACTTGTGGTATCTACAGTGAATAAGCAGCAGCGAAGTGTTTTATCCTGTGTCGACACACACTGATCTTGATCTCCATCTCATCATATATATATATATTATATATATATATATATATATTATATATATATTATATATATATATTATATATATAATATAATATAATATATATATACAGTATATATATATATACAGTATATATATATATATATATATATATATATATATATATATATATATATATATATATATATATATATATATATATATATATATATATATATATATGTCGTACCTAGTAGCCAGAACTCACTTCTCAGCCTACTATTCAAGGCCCGATTTGCCTAATAAGCCAAGTTTTCCTGAATTAATATATTTACTATAATTTTTTTCTTATGAAATGATAAAGCAACCCTTTTCTCTATGTATGAGGTCAATTTTTTTTTATTGGAGTTAAAATTAACGTAGATATATGACCGAACCTAACCAACCCTACCTAACCTAACCTAACCTATATTTATAGGTAAGGTTAGGTTAGGTAGCCAAAAAAGCTAGGTTAGGTTAGGTTAGGTAGGTTAGGTAGACGAAAAAACATTAATTCATGAAAACTTGGCTTATTAGGCAAATCGGGCCCTGAATAGTAGGCTGAGAAGTGCGTTCTGGCTATTAGGTACGACATATATATATATATATATATATATATATATATATATATATATATATATATATATATATATATATATATAATACATACACCAACACACATACATACATATTAAGTGCACAATTACTATACATGTCTTGGATCCAATATTGATAATGCTACAATTATCCATGCATTCTTTTATTTACAACTTGAAATAAATGATACTTTTGTCTACTACAACCAACTTTGTTACAGTGTATTGAAGACTACAAATAAATTAAATGTCAATTGTACTGAAGATAAAACTCTGACACCAAGTCATTACCTCACTATTACAGCACTACAGGAGGGTTGATTGGCCTCATTCCTGAAGACACATTGGCCTCATTCCTATTGTATGACAAGAATTCTTCAGTGCCGATTAATCTTCTTCATACTTGCTAGTTAAACCTGTTGCTGATTTAACAAGTAACGTGAAAACTGCATATTTCTTGAAAGTCATAATTGAACATTTGTTGGAGATTTTGCATTCTTAAAGTAATCGTCACACTTACAAAAACCCAGCGCTGAATGTTGTGACGATAATCTTTTTCAAGAGAGATTGAGCCTGCTCTTCCCTACTTAAAGTTACGTCAATTCTACAAGTATAAGATGCTACATTCAAGATACGTCACCGGTAGCACAAAACGTTTTGACCAGGAGGCAAAACGTACCCAAGTACCCCCCCTACTCCACACACCCTCCACACCGGCTCGTCGTCAACCAGCAAACTACCCATCCCAGCCTGCCTGCTCCTGATTGGTGACTCGCCGACCGCGCACCTGCACACTGCACCTCAGCGCCATCTACCTGAGTCGACGTCTGAACCTGACCAGCTGACATTCTGCCAACCCACCAGGATAGTATCCTGAAGTCAGAGAAGCAATACAGACAACTGCAAGGTTCACAAGAACCGAACCTCGAAAACTGCCAAACTTCAAACAATGCAAACAAAATGATCGGACCACAAAAAACAAAATGATCATCAACAAATGGCCAACAGGGGAACCCCCAGAGCCTCGGTCCTCCACAGATCTCCCAAGTCCTGGAGCAGATGAATCCCACATCCAACAACCAGTGAACATAGAAGGGAGGGAGGGTGTGAGGGAGCCAATGGAGCTCAGTTCAGAAAGATACATGCTATTACATTCAACGCTGGGTTTCTGGAGGAGCCCTTTGGTGGCTTCCTGAAGAAACAGGGAAGGTTTTCCCTGTTGAAAATGTCCAAGACGTTTTTCTTCTCACCAAAGAAGAAAAACGAGACTTACCAGAGAGAACAGATGCCAGGTACTAAAGCAAAGTAGAGACATGAGGTCAGGAAACAGGATTCAAGCTCCCCACCCACACCACTGGTCATTCACTCTACTCCTTTGCTGTGACGACTTAGTAATTTTTCTCATTAAATATATATTATTATAGGTCACAACAAACTCTCAGGAAGCAGCCAGGTAAACACACACACCAGGAAGCGGAGACGAGAAAAACTGGCCCCCAGGAGCAAACCTTCACCCCACTTCCCTGAAGAGAACAGATGTCCGAGATGAGTGAAAAGTACCTATGGGCCCACCTCAGGCTTTCCCAACGGGGTGGTGGCAGAGCAGAACTCCCACAACTAATATGATAAGAGACGTGAGAAGATAAGAGCAATCTCATTGAGATGACTTCACCGAGTCACCAGGACTCTTCAGAAAACTATGATTGTGAAAAGAATATGCCCCAACTTGTTTAATATGAACAAGAAGAGATCTAGGAGTAGAGAAAACACGAAATAACAAAACTAACTATGAAGAGATAAATCTCAAAGAGATATACAGTGAAAACAACTGTCAACAATTATGTTTGTTTAAATAACAGCATCAAATCTTACTAAAGGATATACAGTACTGTACAGTACAAATGAACAGTTTTTCATTTACATGAGCAAGAAGACTGTTAAGGGGCCTGGTGACAGTATTTTCCAAAAAATTAAAAATAGTGAACAATTTTGAACAAATCTCCCATTATTTTGCATAGGCGTCATGAAAGTTTCATCCCAATATGTTAAGAAATGGATTTTTTTACAAATTTGTAAAAAATAAATGCATGCGCAACGGGCGGCAACCGGTACTGATAATAACCATAACACCTCTTATTTACTGGCAATCAGGGATAAAGAGATGTAAGCACCTGTCCAATGCACAAAGAAGACGTGTAGTAGTAAGGCGGGGTCTACAAAGTGTATATGCGGCTGGTGCAACCTGGAGGGCCAGATTTCACACATAATAATGAATTATTATGTTATTATGCTGTATTTTATTATATATCATATAAATACATTGCCCAATGGCAATATTTCTTGTGTCCCTTTGTATGTAAAGCTGACAACCACTTTTTTTTTTTTCTCTCTCTCCTTTGTTTCTATGCGAATTTTGTTGACTTCTACATCTTTAGAATACATATCCGGCACTAAGCATGTTTAGTTGGAACAAAATTGGTCAACATTTTAATCAGCCACAGGTGGCAGTTGATTTATTTTTTGGGATCAATTTATTTACAGATTTCAAACTATTTTCTTCGTCATTTTAGGTTGTATTGATGAATGAGGGCCAGACGAGGGCCTTATCACTTATACATGGGCAGTAAAGTTACTGCAATATATATATACTGCAATATATATATACTGCAATATATATATATACTGCAATATATATGTGTTTGTTATCCCTAACCTATCCCTATATTTTGTTTTTTGGAGGGTTATTTTTTCTTGACTTCATTTCAACACATACTTACCTACAACTTACCTTCACATATTCGAGTACGAAAGCCAAGCAATATTTATTAAAACATACAAGAAAATTCATTAATTAGAACTACTATATTTATTGTGGGTAACTTCAACTTCAGGTACCTCTAAAACAGGAATTGAAACTTTGAAACAGCTCCAAAAATTCAGTTTCTGACCAAGTCTCACCATTTCTACATATGTGCAAAGTTCTTAGTTCTAAGGCTTCCTCGCTGTCGTTTAGTCAAAGCCATAACGTTTGTCGTCCCTTCAACTTCTAGTGTGTGGTCTGGTCAACATAACGTTTGGAGTTATACATTTTTTTGCGTCTAAATTTTGCACATATTTGGACGGCCACATTGAAAAAATGTTTTACAGTAAACTATACTCTCCAACAATATTTTTCAGTGAGGAACCTGAACACTCTCCAACAATATTTTTCAGTGAGGAACCTGAACATTATATGCTATTCTGAGCCTATAATGAATAAAATAATTGGTGACATTTTAATATTTTTAAAGCTATTTTGAAACTGATTTTTTTCAATTTTTTTTTTTAAATACTTCTGTTCATGGTATGATGTTGATCCATTAGGAAAAGTTGGAGCATTTACCCTGAAGATATTATTAACCTAAAAAACTGAGTGCGTTTGAGGAAGTTTCGGTGCACTGTCACCGGGCCCCTTAAGCTCAACAACAGCCTCCTAGACCAATGGCTAACCTTCCCATGATGCAACATATAAAAGTCGCCTAACTCCCGGGTACCTTTATACTGCTTGGTGAACAGACGAATTAGGCAAAAGGAAATGTGACCAACTGCCTGTCCTCTGCAGTCATTGTGCCCAGTATTTTTCAGTTGTGAACAAACTGCACTGACCATTGCGCTACAGGACCTTACAGTAGGCAATGTTGTGTTTGGTAGTGACATCAGATCACCTTAATGGCTGCAATGTTATGTTTGGTAGCGACATCAGATCACCTTAATGGATGCAATGTTATGTTTGGTAGCAACATCAGATCACCTTAATGGCTGCAATGTTATGTTTGGTAGCAACATCAGATCACCTTAATGGCTGCAATGTTGTGTTTGGTAGCGACATCAGATCACCTTAATGGATGCAATGTTATGTTTGGTAGCAACATCAGATCACCTTAATGGCTGCAATGTTGTGTTTGGTAGCAACATCAGATCACCTTAATGGATGCAATGTTATGTTTGGTAGCAACATCAGATTACCTTAATGGATGCAATGTTATGTTTGGTAGAGACATCAGATCACCTTAATGGATGCAATGTTATGTTTGGAAGCAACATCAGATTACCTTAATGGATGCAACATGTTCCTTAGCAACGTCCGATCACCTTAATGGATGCAATGTTTATGTTTAAGAACAGTATCTGGTTGACATGCAATGTGAAGTAAGGCAAACAAAAATATAGGAAACATCTTTCATACAGTAGTGTTTCTATGGGTGACCGTTGAACAATCTATGCTATACTGTATATTATAACTTCTACTTTTGTAATCCCTCAACCGAGCTCTCACCTACCTTGCCAAGGTATTAACCCATGTCATGTGAAATAAGCCCTACTGCCTCTTGATTTAAGGTTTGGGAGTTGACAATATAATAAATTATTAGTCATATAAACAGCTCATTCACAACACTACATATGATGAGAATATAAGTTAAAATTTCATTTATGTGCAACACATCTTTATTATATTTCAGGGAGATAAATGTTAAATTTTAGAGATCAGTGTAATCTTCAGGTTTCTGAACTTCATCCATGTTACTTACATCCACTGGACTATGGAGGTTTCTTTCAGAATGTTTCGATCTTCTCAACTCTCTGTGGAAATACTGTACAGTTTTCTCAATGCCTGTCTGAAGTGAAACCTGCAAAATAAAAGAAACAGTAACAATTTTGTTTTAAAAAGCTACACCCCCAAGCAACTCCAGTGCCTGCAGAGTCGTCTAATAAAACCATGCGTGTACAATGATTGTTTGATGCAAACTTACTAAGGGCTGCCAACCAAGCACATGATTGGCCCGTGTGATGTCTGGCCTACGTCTCTGAGGATCATCTTCTACTGCATCTTTATGAACAATAGGACTCTTGCCTCCCACCATCTTGTGGATAATCCTTGCAAATTCTGTAAATACAAAATATTTCAAGGTTTTTCACATTGCATTCATATGGTTTACTTAACTAACAAATACAATTTGATTACTAGACTGATTTTCCTTAATTTTTTAACAGCAACACGGGACAAACTCTGCCGACACCTGCCACCTAGCACAGCTAACGCACAATGCTACGATCAACATTCTGATCAGCAACAGTAATATCACTAGCCAACACATAACCCAACATACACACACACGAAATGAAATTGATAACATTTTGATAAGTCCTAGACCCTCATCAAGTCAATAAGGATCCAGGATGGTCTGAAGCATCATCACCTTTAAGTGGTTATGTGAAGCAGCAGCATGTACCAGTCAATTGACAGTCAAGAGGTGGAACCAAAGAGCCAAAGCACAACTAGGTGAGCACTTTCATTTCTTTCCACGTGTGTGTGGATGGGTTGGGTTACAAGCTTCAGCTACACAGTGACAATCTCGAAAAAAATACATGTGTGAAGCACATTTCTCAACACTGCCATGTACAATGAACATAATTTAGCCATATTTATGGCTAAAGAGTCTAGTGGACCAGGAACTTAGTTCAGCAAAGCTCTTAAAGCTTCCAAACAAATTAAGAACTTGTGTTCCACAAGACTGGCACAATTTTCTCGCTAGTGCCGAGTGAAAATTCAGGTCTTTAATGTCTTTTCAGTTCTTCTGGGAATGGGTTTAAATATATTACAATATTTGAGTGAAGTGGGATTGTTAGTTATGTATTTAAGAAGTGTTGAGAAATTATAATCTTTAAATACTGAGTGGTAATGATGCTTCCTTTCATTATAATAAGTACGAATTAATTAATATCCTTATTTGAAATATGTGAAAACCACTGGAAATATTTAAATTATTTTTATTATATATGCCAGTGACTCCAAACATTTTATCAAGGCAGAATGTTTTTATTATATTTGTCTGATTAATAATTATTAATTTTTTTGTAAGTCACCTTATTACACCTAGAATGTTGTTGTTGTTGCTTATAAAACTAGGTCAATTTTTGTACAAACTAAAAACCGCTAATGTAACGGCTCACTGTTTGGTCAGGTCATTAAGACATTGCCAGAATGACCAAGAAAAAGGGCAATAAAAGATCTACAATAAAAAAATTCCGAGCTCAGAGTTGAGCCGGTAATGTATTGTAATATACATTTAGTACCAGCTTACCTTCAATAGTATGTTCTTCAGGGTTGCCAATATTGACTGGTAATGAATAATTGGAGTTCTGAAGTTTAATAAGTCCATCAACCAAGTCGCTAACGTACTGGAATGACCTTGTTTGCTTCCCTGAGCCATAAATCTGTAAAACATTGTTGTGCCAATGTTATATCTACTCATCAAGTTCTTAACAATTAACATTCATATAAGATATAACATTGAGAATACTGAAACACTACTTTTGAGTGCCCCCCAGTTGCTTCCTAACCAAACGATAAAACACACTGGTCTACTGGTCTTTGTTGACCTGCTTCGTGACAGCAAGGTACGGTATCTTTATTAAGGTCCTAACACTTAAATTAAGAATAGACGAGAAAATTCTCTATCCACTAACAAAAGGGCCATTTTGCTGTCATACTAAGCAGAAAAAATCAGAATTCTCAATGGCCCTTGCAAGTAAAACCTCAGATGCAATAGGAAAACCAATTAATGCTCTGCTAACTACTAAATTACCACTAGCCACTATCTCTAATTACCACTAGATGGCAGCATACTACATTTAATCAAGCTCAGGGACTACTGAAGCCCTCAATATTCTCAGCACCCTATTTTTGAGCTAGACATAATTTCAGACATAAAAGACAGGCATCGAACATAATAAACATAAAATTTGGAAAACTTTCCCAAGTAGTTAAATCTAGAAAAAAGAGCCAATTGGACATGTATTAAACCAGGACCTGAAGACCAAAGACACTTGGTGAACCGTTGTCAGAGGGTTTATAAGCGACCACACAGTGGCAACGTGGATAGAGCACAGCAGAAAATTACGTGATACAAAGGCCTGGTTGACCCTCAGACAGTTTGAGTGACTCCAACAACTGATCATCTGGGACAAACAGGGAACCGGCAAAGGGGATTAAATCAAGGCTATGGACGAGTTGAGAGATGTGAGAAAAAACCTGATAATTTATAGATTTTCACAGTGAAAGACCAGATGTATTAAAACAAAAACAAAAAAAAACAGAGCACAATCTTATCTTTAACTGTGGAATTATTATCACAATTTCTTATTTATACTAGAGACATATTTTCAGCAAATTGACATTAAAGATGAACTCCACGCAAATCTAAGTGTGATTGTTAGCCAAGTTTCCCTGATAGCCAATTACTGTTACAAGGGTTTGTATTGTAAGTTACAAGGGTTTCACTCTACTAATAAGGTTCACTAATACGTCATATTAAAGTTATTATAACTTACAGTTAAATCCTTGCCCGTAAGTGCCTGTAGGATGAAGTTTGAGACAACTCTCCCATCGTTCATATGCATACGTGGACCATACGTGTTAAAAATACGTGCTACTCTTACTTCCACGTTTTCCTGTCTATGGTATGAATAAGCCAAAGTCTCCGATACTCTTTTTGCTTCGTCATAACAGGCACGAGGACCTGAAAATCAATGCTTAATGAAAATAAGAGTTGTATGAAAAATTCATAAGATTGTAATCGCCAAAAATTTTGATCTACTCCGCTAGTGCAATTCCAGTAGAATACCGTGGGAAAGTACCTGAAACATACTGTATTGAAATTTTATAATAGCTTAGCATTATGTTATTGTAGATTGTATACAGAATTACTGTGGCTCTTGTAGACCTAAATAAACTAAATTTAAATGGAAGTAATTGCTAAACAGCTTCAGTTATTCATGTTTAATATTTAACATATCATAAATGGAGTACAAATCACAATATCCTGTATTTGAGGCCATGGGATATGTTACGTAAATATGAAAGACTCTGAAGTTTAGAGGAGAAATTTGAGCACAACATTACTGTACAACAAAGAAAGCAAATAATGCATCATAAAATTAGCAAAGGACTAGGAATGTGTAATGGCATCCTGAGCTACACAAGGTGTCAGGTCAAGGCACCCAGAGCTACAAAATGCACCGAGTAAAGATACCGAGCTACACAAGGTGTCGAGTAAAGGTACACATACACAGTTTCAAATGTAGATGTGATATTGTCTAGTAGGTTCAGAAATCTGTACACCAGTTGATTGACAGTTGAGAAGTGGGACCAAAGAGCCAGAGCTGAACCCTTGCAAGCACAACTAGGAGAGTACAACTAGGCAAGTACACGTAAAAGTCCCCCCCCCCCCAGCACACATAAAGGTACCAACTGAACACACACAGAGGAACCCCCTGAACACACACACAAGTACCCCCCTGAACACACACACACAGGTACTCCCCCTGACACACGTAAAGGTACCCCCCCTGACACACACACAAAGGTACCCCTGACACGGTTTCAAGTCAAGATGTTCTGAGCTACTCAAGGTGTCCAGTAAAGATAAAGAGACTTGAGAATGTCTGGAACTTAAACCCCTTTAAAAAGTAAAAAGGGTTATTTTTAATGACTTTCTCAGAATATATCCACATTGCAAAATATATATTATTGTGCAGCGCATTGGAAAAGTAATGATTTGCTTGAAATCCTACATAAAAATTTGATAATTTTCCCTTGCCCCTAGGAACTCCAATGGTAGGGGTGGCCTTGTGCACAACTTTCTCTAAATAGTTTAGCAATTTACCAAGATTTCTGCAACACAGTAGTCAGTGCAGTCACTTCTCGACCAGAAGGTCCTAGGGTCTCAAGTTTGATTACCATATAGGACAGAAATGCTTTGGCATGCTTTCATTCACCTAGCAGGAAATGGGTACATAGGAGTTAGGCAAATATTGTCAGTTGCACATTGATGAAGGGCAGTCGTTGACCTAGAGTACCCTTGATAAGACTGACAAGCTTCCTGTTCCTGACAATGGGAACACGAACTGTTTCATCACCAACACTTTTTTCCACCTGAAGGCATTACAGAATGTTTCCATGTTCCGTACTCTCTTACACAGAGCAAAAGGATATTTAAACAATCCTAAAGAAAGGAGGAAGTATAAGAGGACATTGTCAAAATAAAGGCAGTCAAAACTTACCAATAGGATTAACATGGCCCCAGTAAGCCTCAGTCTGCGGATGCACCTCGGGATCACCATACACCTCCGAGGTGCTGGCAATCAGTACTCTCGCACCCACTCGCTTAGCCAGCCCTGTACATAAAAGTCATTTTTCTTAGTTGATATACAGTATATAATTCTTTGTTCAGCACATGATAACTAATATGGAAGCCACTCTCATCATTATACTGTATCTAATACAATCCTTATAATACTCAGTCTTAAGAATGTCATAAATAAGATATCACTTGAGAGCATCATTTTATTAAAACTTGTCTTTATCCCTCTTCCTGCTTTCTCCTTGTTGCCATGAGAGCCTAGCCCCATAGCAATACTAATCTTTATTTGAAAGAAATTAGATAATTTTGAAGCTAGTTTTAAAACTTGACTGAGATGCCAAGCGTGTTAGTGACTTTGCAAGAGTGTCCCATTTAATCACAATACTTTTATAGCCCAATGCACCTTATTTGTGTGCATGTGTAATTGCCCAAGTGTAGTTACAGGATAAGAGCTACGCTCGTGGTGACCCGTCTTCCTAACACTGTCATATAATGCTTTCAAACTACTAACTGTTTTGGCCTCCACAACTATCTTCACTTAACTTGTTCCAACCGTCTACTACTCGAATTGCAAAAAAAAAAAAAATCTAATAATTTTCTGGCACCTTTATTTAATTAGCCTGAATCTGTGACTTCTTTTTCTTGAAGTTGCTGGTTTCAGGAAGGAAGGAAGGAAGGAAGGAAGGAAGGAAGGAAGGAAGGAAGGAAGGAAGGAAGGAAGGAAGGAAGGATGGAAGGAAGGAAGGAAGGAAGGAAGGAAGGAAGGAAGGAAGGGAAGGAATAAATGAATGAATGAATGAATGAATGGAATGGAATGGACAAATAAAATCAATAAATCAATGTGATGAGGTATTTTAACATTGAACAGAAACTCTGAAAAAACACAAAATATTCCTACCAGACATATCCAAATACAGTACAGTACACCAAATGATTATTACCTAGAATATTAATAGTTCCCACAGTATTAGTCTTGATAGTCTTGACGGGATTGTACATGTAGTGCGGAGGCGACGCTGGGCTCGCCAAGTGGTACACCTGTTAACACACACCAAATATAAAAAACTTTAGAAAATGGTCTATTAAGCAATGGGAGCTGGAATCCTCTGTACTGTAATGATAAATGTTAGTGGGACCTCAAGTAAAATAATCTCTATGGAAACAGCCATTCAGGTCCATGTACTAAACTGCCATGATAAATTATAAAAAAAAGATTCAACACATCCTTTCCGATATATAGATTGTCGTGCTAAAAGTGATCTCTATCCCGTAACACCATTTCTGGGACCACAACTAACAAGTAGCTCATAACTGCACCTCTCATTTTGCTTGGCCATTCAATGCAGTGGAGAAAGCACAAGACATTAATAAATTACTATAGATCGAAAAGAATCGGATAAAAATGTAGAGCTTTTGCCTACACTTGATTTGTTAAGGTGCATCTATTTTACAAAGGAAATATACAAAACAATAGTCATTACAATGTCAAAATTAGTTACTAGTAATACAATTGAATATGGTTACTACCCTATAATAGGAAAGATGATCAATTATGCTGTTGTAATTTGTGTTATCACTGAGAACATTTTGGAGCAATATAGAGGAAGTACATTCAACCCTCTGGACGAGTCTCTGGGGAGGCCAAAGGCAACAGTTCACTCCCATCATATTGGGAGTTTATATCTAGCAACTTTTTGATGCCTCAAAATATTAATACCAAATATTATGAACGACAGTATAACCATATTCACCACAGAATAATAATATTTATCTTTAAGCTCTGAAACCTCACAAACTATATTTGAACAACAACCTCTTTCACAAAGTAAGGAGACATTTGCTTCTAAAGTCGTGGCAAGTAGAATATAAAAATGTTTAAGTTGTATAACTAGGTCTCATCCATTCACCATTCCTCCAACACTTGACAGTACCTTACCTTGAGGTGCTTCTGGGGCTTAGCGTCCCCGTGGCCTGGTCGTCGACCAGGCCTCCTAGCACCAAACTCCAGCACATCATCCACAGTAACACTCTACAAGACTGCATTTATGAGTTTTACTTGCTAGTGGTCACAAAATCCCACTCAGAGCTCACTCACTTTTAAACTGCAATTACCTAGCCTTGTCGCTTACCATTTCGAGAGAGATGTCCATACTTGAATCTATGCTTCTTTACAAACACACACACACACTTGTCATTGTCATCATTGTGACATTCTTCACCTCAGCCTATCCTCAAATTCACTCTCTTCACCATTTTATCAGTCTCCTTTCAATCTATACAACCAAACTACTACTATATTTTATCATAAACCTTACAATTTACTACAACTTTCCAAGACATTTTTAATCTTTGATCCTTTTATCTTAAAATTACAACCGTTTCTCAGAATATTAATTTCAACCAATACCACACCAGGACCTAGTGTAATTAATTCTTATGTCCAACCAGTCACTCATTACTCTATACACTGACATGTGCTCAGCTTCCATAAAAAAAAAAACATGTATAGGATTTAAAAACATCAAGTATAGAATATTGATTACTGGCCTACAGTCATATTCACTTAGTCATGTATACTCTTGAAGTTCATAAAGGCCATATATACACTACCATCGTAGAATGGTTTCTCCACTAGCTGTCTCTATGCAAAAGTACGAATCAATACAATCTCTCATCAAAACTCACTTTGCTCATCACTGACCAACTGCCCAGTTATTTTCTTTACTGTTCCAAATGTTTTCTTCTCTAACACTTTTCACACAACTTAGTATAAAATAATGCCTCTGTAGCTTATAAACTCACCAAATTCACCTTTATTTTTACACAGTTGCAGCATTTTCAATCATACTGAACATTACCACAAACCCGTACAGTGTACTTCTGAACAGTTCCCCACAATGCATTCAATTTCTTTTGCCCTACTGCATTTAACCATTTTTGCTCTCACATACACAGATCCACCATATTTCAACTTTTGCACTGATGTACTTCCCTCTTCCATGCGTACATACATCTGCTATTAAATCTTTTACTATTTTCATAATCTATTAAGGCTTAAGTTATGAGGTTACGTATATGGAGGAAGCAGCATAAAGTTAGCAGCCAATGCCAGCAAGAACAAGTAATCAAATAACAAAAATGATTCCAACCTGGTCAACTTCAATAAACAGAGGATTAACAATGTCGTGGTGAATAAGTTCGAAGTTCTCGTGACCAATCCAGTGTTCCACATTTCTCTTCCTTCCAGTAAAAAAGTTGTCGACCACTATGACCTCGTGACCTTCCATCATCAGTCGGTCCACCAGGTGCGATCCAACAAAGCCAGCACCACCAGTTACCTGTTAGGATGGAATGTGTCACATTTGGTCTATTTATCATTGGCATATAGCAGGATAAATTCATTTTAGAGTATTTGTATAAATGTATAATTGACAGATATGATTGGTAGAGATTCAATAAGTACGTCTAAAGGAACGTATCTAGTATCCACTAAGCCAGTCCATACAAACACTATGAGCCAGGTTGTGCATGAAACTTAAAGTTGCTTCCTAGTTCCCGAGGAAATAATGTTGAAGTCAATACTGTAAACATTACATTTACTCACTTTTGTACATCTATATTTTTTATAAAGAAAAGACTATGGGTCCTTAAATAAGATCACTTTTCTACTGATATTCTTTGAAAAACTTCTGGGCACTTCAATTATGTGGGACGTTTTTTGAGGAACAGTATAAAATGATAAAACTAAATATGGTTAAATTGTACAAGGACTATCTGGAAAAGTATTCCATATAAACAAATCTCATGATACTACAACTGTGAAATCACTACAGGAAGTGTAGTGACTGCATTGGTACAACAAATATTGGATTGCATTTATGGTGAATGTGATCCTGGTATGGCTTCTCTCATGGTTCTTGTCAGCCTTTTTGTGGAGGCCACTATGACATCTACACGTCTTTCAGAGGACATGGGTCACAGATGTTTGGGCTTATCGAGTACAGTAGTTTCTAGTGACCCCGAGTCCTGGGTTAATGTCTACTCCTCTACTAGGTACCTACAATCAGGAAATGTTGGACAAGGAGTGTTTCCGTAACTCCTCTGCAAGTCATGTCGTGCCACATTTCAATGAACAAAATATTCTGTCAAGTTGCAATTGTTCCTCAACTTGAAATATGAGCATTGATCCCAGGCCAGTTTTTACCTGATGATTTCAAGTTTTTTTTTTACTCTGACGACCTGCCTGGCAACTTCCTGGTCTATAAGCCTGTTCTTTCTTTAATTTCTGTAAAAATATTAAGTACAGTATATGCAAAGTTACCCACCAAGCTTACGGACAAGAGCCTAGAATGCAGATACAAGTCCAAGCTAGACCATAATTCCCAATGTCAGGGGGACAGGAAGCCTGTATTTAGGTTTACTGAAGTCCCCTTTGGTCAATCACTGACCTTCCCCAGGATGCAACCTAAAACAAATGTTGAACACCTGGGTATCTATTTACTGCTAGATGAACAGTCATCAGGTGAAAGGAAACTTGCACAAAAATTTCTGCCTGTACAGTGATCGAACCCTGGATTTTCAACTGTGAATAAGATGTAGACCATTGGCATTTAGGGACCAGCTCAGAAAGCATCATTTCAATATGCTCAATATCCCATTTTTCTATTCTCTAGAATTTCTCTTCATTAAAAGTGTAAATGCCATTAAATTTAAAATTATTTAATATCTTAGTACTGTACAGTATATAGACAAGAAATAGGCTGTAATTTTGTATTTCACATAAATATTTAAAGTGATATACAGTATCCATAGTATGCGTGCAAAGTAGACATCATTCACATCATTATAAACTAAGGTCTGTACAGTGGATACACTACATCTATATTTCACAGAAAACCGAGTACTCTACATCAAAGAAAACATCCATAAAGAGGATAAACTATGTTAATATTTACTGTTCCTATAAAATTACCAAAGTGTCTAGTCCTAAATCCACAAGAAAAGCTTTAACACTGTAACCCATTCAATGCTCACCAAAATCCTCTTGCGATCTTTGAAAGTTAAAAACTTTACTTCTGGATATTTTTTAGGGATTCTGTACTCTATGTCCTTCAGACGCTTCTCTAGCTCTTGAATTTTAAGAAGAGCTTCATCCAAAGTATTAATATTTTTGACGTCCAGTGGCTGCAGGGCGGATTGAGATGATGAAATAAGCTTCTCGTTTCCATTTTCTGCGTATTGTTGAGCCGTGTCTCTGACAAATGCTAGCTCCACATCGCTGGGTTTCTTTGACGACACCAAAACTGACCAATTGAAAACTGCTAAAGAAAAACAAAGAAAATACAGTACTGTACTTGGAAAGAAAAAAAAAATATGAAAACTATTATTCAGTGTTGCATTATCATTATTTCATGCCTGTGCATGAAATAATGCCTTTATTTCATGCGCATGCCTCGCACAGCATAATTAATTAATAATTTAAGCTGTTAATATTGCAGATTTTAAAACAAACTATATTAGTATTAAAATGGAAATAATAAACTAAGTACAGTACTGCACTAACAAGGCAGTACGAGTGTGAAATGGTAGAGAAAACCAGGATGACGAGACGAGCAAATCTGAATGGGATGTGAGAAGAACTCTATGATGATTTGACCAGGATTTTCAGAAAAAACTAATAATACAAACTTAATTATAAAGGATTATATATATCCAGTTTTTACTGGATGCAGTGTTCATGTGTTGGAGGAGGGTTTCAGTGAAAACCATACACCAAATCAATACAAGTAGCCAGCTGTGTCAACGCTGGCACCAAACGAAACTGCATTTAACCAGAACCAAGAGTGACTGGGTTCGGGTCACAGGATATAGCAATTACAATGAATAATAAAACAGTGGTACTCGCTCAACTACAGGGTGATGGCACTCATGGTGCTAGGAGCAGCAGCGATCATGTGACAAAGCAGTTCCCCAGTTCTTGCTATATTGTTATTATTAATTATTATTATTATTATTTAACACGTATGCAAATGTAAACAATTGCCCACTTAAAATGTATAATAAAAGACTAGAAATCATAAGTAGTCAGGGGAAAATCTCTCCCCCCCGACATTTCTAATCTTTCACCATCTTTTAAGATAAGATGGTGAAAGATTAGATTAGAGCTTCACTCATAACAACATCTTCTACAAACACAATTCCAGCTGGACTGAACAGGTGTACAGTAATGTAAATCAAACTTATATTTTTAGACAAATTATACACAATAAGTTCTTACGAGTAATAGCCACAAAAACAGCAATCACCAAATAAGGGAAACTTTATAGCAGAAGGCCAATTACTTGAGCTTAGATGTAAGCACAGGCAAACTGATCATATAAACTGCTTTTCTGCAAGCTCGTATAAATGCTTTGCGTATTAGTGGCTTTATTCATAGTATATACTAGCTCTATCTAGAAATCCAACATTCTGTATGTAACTTATTTTGTATGTATAGTATGTACTTTTCCCTAAGTATACATCATTATTATTATTATTAATACTGTATACTTATTGCACCTTTGCTTTTCAATGCATGAAGGCATCCTCCCATGCCATCATGTGGCGTTATTCCTATTTGGAACTAGGCCTTCTAGTATTTTCAACATGTAAATTACCCCTCCCACCTGCATACAGATATAAAAATACAGGGAATACAGATTTAAAAATATTAGGGGGTCATACATACTCCAGGTCAGTAATTTCCTAAGCTTTGAATAAGACTGTTAGTGTGCAACAATATTCCAGTGTCTTAAAAAGTATCGTAATTGATATGGCATCTCGTTTGTAGGGTTCTTTTTATCCAACCTGTCATTTTTCTTGCAGATGTGACAACTCCTTTATTGTGTTCTTTAAAAGTAAGGTCTTCTGATCTGATTACTCCTAAATCTTTTATGTTGCCTCTTCTTTCAATACTGTGGCTCGACTGCATTTTATGTGGTTTCCATTTTTATATCTTCATTTATTCCATAGCACAGTAACTGGAACTAAACCTTATTAAGATTCCTACACTCTGCACCTGCATGATAACAAGTTTCAGGGTTGATAAATGTTAATCTTCTTGTTTGTTTAACTGTCTCAAGTGATCAGTTTATCAAGTCCCAACTGTGTCTGGGTACAAGTGACAGGATGAACAACCCAGTGGGTTTTCTTCCTATTGGGGAGTGTTGTATATATTCGAACCCCAGTTGGAAACAGACCCAACTATAGGATGGGTTAACCCAAGTATCGCGCTTCCAAAAGGGTCGCCCATGTTGGAAAAGACGAACGCCGAAAGAATATTGTTGAAAACATCTTGATAACTGATTAAACCAAAATAATATGGCAGCATATTCGCTCAAGATGTGTGGCTTTGCCCAATAAATTCGCCCTTCGGGGCGAGGTTAAAAAGCTACATGACAATTCAGTTGGGTTAGGTTTTAAGATATGTGAAACATCACCTGTAGGTATAATCACATAGGGGGTATAGTTACACTATATAGAGGCATTCCAACAAAGCTTTTTTTTTCTTTTTTTCCAATTTTCAAAACCATATATATACTGTTAGGTTAGACTGTGTTAGCTTAGGAAAGGTGGCATCTAGTTCAGTTGCATTAGACTTTAAAACCCATTGGCGAGTCGTCTTACGTACCATGTGACGAATCCATTACATCAGACACGGACACTTTGTACAGTAGTCATTGAATTCACAAATTTTAATTTAGAAAACTTTACTTCACAACTTTGCACAGTACACACTACACAGAAGCCCTTCTATCATACACAGTCCTTCCCACAGCGCTTGGGGGCAGGGAGGGGGTTGTAGTCTTAATGGCCTGGGTTCGATTCCAGGCCGAGACGGAAACAAATGGGCCGTTTCTTTCACCCTGTTCACCTAGCAAAAAATAGGTACCAGGAAGTTATAGTTACTATGGCCTGCTTCCTGGGGATGTGTGTATGTGTGTGTGAGTTAAGAGAGAAATATATGTAATAGATATAATAAGAGGAAAAATAGATTGCTTCGAGAGCTGGGGTCCAAGA